TTTCAAGTTATAGTATCAGATACTATATTAATTTTATTTAACTGTTTTTATATGGAGTTGAACTGGTATTTTGTGATCTAACCTGAGAAACACTAATCACTATACTATAGACCTATAAGTTGTTTGCTTTTATAATTTATAAATTTATAAATTAGTATTATTTAATAAGTTTTATTTATTATACTTAATAATAATATTGTTTCTTAATGTTTGAAATGTTTTAAAAAAACTTAATAAGTTTTTTCTTTCTTAAGGAAAATTTCCTAATTAGAAAATATAATAATAAATAGAAGAAAGTTTTTAATTAATTATTTTATTATTATTTTATTATTATTATTTTTTTGTGTACTAGTGATAATTGTCTGGCTGGAAGTTATTTCTAATTATGATATTTATATTTATCTGAAACATTACTACCTAAAGCAATACTATAATATATAGGTACTCAGTAATAATCAATATTTATTGGAATTGCTCTAAATAACAATGTTTGCTATAACTTGTTTCTAAATATATTAGATATAGAGACTAATCTACTGAACAAAGGAGTTTTTTGTTTAATCAGTAGCATGCATTTTTTACTAGTAGTTAAGCTTTATTTTTAACTTGAAAAAGATTAAGGAGAAGTTAAAAGGATGCACTAGAAATAATATCTATGGTAAATAAACCTATATAATCTCTACTTGCTCTATTGGAGATAAATCCCTTTACTACTACCTGCAGCTAGACTAACTATTTAATTTCTTACCTGTCCAACCAATACTCAAGAACATTTAAAGTACTTATAACTGGTACTTATCACCTGAACACCAACTTATATATTGCAGAAAACAGGACTTATAGTCAAATATCTTTTTGGAATAAGTACCATCAGATTGGTTTATTACTGGATTGAAATAGGACTAGAGCAGGAATCTGCATAAAAGATGTCAAATATTAGGAAAGTGATCACCAAACCTACTTGTTGGAAGCAGACACCTCATATACCTTGCAACTTCTAGTAATCATCATAACACCAACTGGACGATCATCATGCCACAACATCTTTTTTGAAAATCATAATCTCAACACCTGCTAGATTAGTATGTGAAATGGTTTCTTATGAGAAATAGTGCTTTTACAGATTATAGTACCAGATACCATATTAATTCTATTTAATTATTCTCATATGAAGTTAAACTGGTATCTTGTGATTTGACCTGTAAAGTGTTAACCATTATATTATAGATCCACTGGTCTTTTTTAATTATTTATATATACTTTTATTTTATATATATTATATATATTATATATAATAACCTGTAGGTCTATAGTATAATGGTTAATACTCCACAAGTCAGATTACAAGATACTGGTTCAATTTCAGGTGAAGGAAATTGAATAGAACTTATATAATATTGATACCATAATCTGTTATGTATTGTTTCTTATATGAAGCTATTTCATATACTAATCTAATAAGTGTTGAGATTGTAATTTTCAAGAAAGGTGTCATAACATGACAATTGTTCAGATGGTGTTATGATAATTAATGGAAGTGTCTCAATAGTGGTTAAATCTCTAGTTTGGGCTATCTCAATTCAGTGCAGAGCTTAAATGGATAATACCTGTCACAGATAGTAAGAAGTATGAAAGTATAAAGTTTAAGTGATAAGGTGTAAGGATACTTGAGTAAACTCTTCTAATTAAAATTCCTTCTTCAAATCAGTTCACATAGACAAGTTGTAGGTAGTTTAAACTGGTAACAGGATTTCTACCTTCCTGTTAAACTGCTCCTGGATATTATAAAGGTAACATGTTAGGTATTTGATTTTGAATATTCAAAAGAAGTATATATATAGGATAATCTATATAGAGTAGTATATAGTTATTGACTTGTACGAATCCTTAGAAGATTATTCTTGATAGCAATTTCTTTTATATGATATGATTTAATATTTATCAATAAAAAAAAACATGCACTTCATTCATACTTTGATCCATCTTAAAATATATATAGTGAATCCTTTCTAAATGTATATCCCTCAGAACTATAGGAAAATTTTTAAAAAATGTGCATTTATAGAGGGTGTACATTTATGGAGGTAATTTTAATAAAAGTTCTATGTACTTGAAATCAAGTTTGACCATGCATTTAGAAAGAGAAAATATAGTAAGTACTGTTAAGCCAGAAAATGGCAAATCGGTTGTTTCACCAGTCCAAAGGTAAGGTTATTAAAGATATGTTAAGGCATGTAAGATTAATTTAGCCAGGGCTTTCGTTATTAACAAACTTCTCTTTTTTTTCCCAACACCAGCTCTTCTCTTGATAATCTCAGGCTATGTCCTATAGTGACGATTATCCTTTTCTAGATGATGCATATTTAAAAAAGTAAGTTGTTAATTACAATATTTCTTATCTGGCGCTTAAATTTTACTAATTGTTGTGTTTATTAATTGTACTATTGTTTTATCTCTATCTTTTTTTTCTCTATTTCTACCTCTCTTTTTAATCATATGGCTATTTATATTGTTGCTACTACTAAAAACAATTAAGGGAAAATAGATCATCGGGGCTAAAACAAACTATGTGTAAGTTATGTAAGCTTCGATGACTATATTTTCTATGCTAATTATTAATGCTACTCCATATTTCCAGGGTATGTAATGCAGTAGTCACAGTACATGACCATATCCCATAACTTTTATAAGGCTAACAGTACATTTATAGAAAGTATATTTAAAGATTTTTTTTTTTTGAAGAGCTAAATTGCAATATACACATGAATTTTATTGTTGAATCAATTAAGACCACAATTATCTATATATGAACAGTCTATTAACTTATTACTAATATTAACTCATGCTGCTCATCCTTTTTACCAGAATACCAACTTATATTAAGTAGGTAGGTCTATATTCTGATTTATGCTTATAACTCTCTACTTATAAATATAAGATAAGGAAAATCATATATCAACAGTGAAAAACTTTTCTAGCAGTCTCCTTTTTGACTTATGACCTGACTCTTTTCCAATTGGATCACCAATTCAGATTGCACCAACATCAAATAGAGAGGTAAAGGTCCAATCAAATTTCAGAGTCTGCCGATCCAGTTTGGAGTACTAGCTAATTGAGTATGACCTAAATTATACATATGATATAAATTATTTGCTATTGACTCAATTTCCAAAATTCTCAAAAATAATTGTGTCATGACTCAATTATTTATATGTTTTAATAGTGACTCAATTAATTGCATCCAATAATTGCATCCAATAATTACATCAATTGTATAAAGGATCTACAAATTTTAGCAACATGTATAACCTAAATCAGAAAACTAGTTAACCTGAATAGAAAGAATAGTAATATAGAGTCTGCTGTTTCAGTTGAGGTTGTGGACTTATACCAAAGTTAGACCAAAAGCCTTGCCTCATACAATCTTTCCTACTTCGACCTGTTTTTAGCTTGCGATCGTTAAAAAGACCAAAGGTCCCATATTTATGTAGCCTAGCTTAATTTGATAGATAATTTTTGATTGATTGGATATGACATGTATTGGAAGCTGGTCAACCAATATAAAGATGATAAATTTTTGTAACCAGGTGAGTTTAAATCCTAGACTTTCTCCTGATAACCTATAGAGCATTATTACTATACTATAGACTCATAGGTCTCTATTTAAAGAGGTTTTTTTTAATATATTTATTATATTACTTTTATAATTTTTTATTATTTATTTATTACTTTTTTTTTTATAACAATACAGTTAATACAAGTATTTAATATAATTAATTAAATTATTATTAAAACATATAAATAATTGAATTATAATATAATTATTTTTAAAAATTTTGAAAATTAAATTAATAATAAAATAATCTATATTATATATATAATATCAATAGATTAGATTTTTTTTATAAGTATTTATTAAAACAAAATAATTAAAAAATTAAAAAATATAATTATAAAAATATTTTTAAAAATAAACATATATATATATAATAATCTAGATATTAAGGATTTAAGAATCATATATTAGTTGAAATCTAATTATTCAACAATATGCTACTCGTCAATTATTTGATATATGATAAATAATTTATCAAGCATTTGTTAAACATTTAGCAATAATTTGGCATATCCAATTTGGCAATGATTGCTGAATTGTTGATGAATGTTTGATGAATTTTTTTATTATATATCGAATAATTGATGAGTGGTATACTGCTAAATAATCAGATTTCAACTAGTAATATACAAATTTACAAATAACTTGTTAATAGATCTTTTGCAATATATACAATTTAGCTTTAGTATAAAGCCTTAAAATTCAATATATTATTGTTTTTATAAGATTAATAAATGCATAGAATTGCAATCTAATTAAAGAAAAATAAAAATAAAAATAAAATCAAATAAAATCTATATATACAGTATATCTCTTCAAAATCTGTAGCTATTGTAAGAATATACAAACCATTGGCAAAAGTGTTGATAAATATAAACATTGTTATACAATTATGGACAATTATACAAATAGAACCTACAGGATCTTCCTATTGATAAAGCCATCACATGTAAATATAGGAATTGATGATCCTTACTTAGCAATGATGTATTGCAATTCATCCGTCACGTTACTTACACAAACGCGTTAATGTTACGAATTTTTTGATTAATCACATGCTTTAATCTTAAAATTTTATGAATACTCCTCTAAAAAAAAATCTAAACATAATAGAGTTTAACCTCAAATTACTTCGATTGTCACCTGCTACAACAAAAATAACAACTGACTACCTCAGTAAATTATTTTAAATATCTAACGTTGATTAAATCATTTCAAAAGAAAAAAGAATTATATACACCGTTTGTAATAAATTCACATTATTTAGGATTGAATGAGATAAAATAATTTTCATTCTACATATAAGCAATTTACGCGTTAATCATAGTCATTATACATTAGCATGTTAAAAATGGGGATATTAGTCAGCTAAGAGTTTCTGTATTCATTTTCCTTGACCTGCATATGTATCCACACGACGATCCGTTTCCCTTCCCTCCTCTATTTTACGTTGTTTATCAATTTCACGTAGCTTATTGTAAACTTGATTTCTCCGTCGGATGGCGTTTAATAAGCCCTCGTGTATTTTTATATATGATCGAAGGATTTCATTACTAGATTCGAGTTGAGATTGTAGTTGATTACGGACTTGAATTAGTATCTCTAAACCTTGATCCTTTGTCTCTTGTGCAAGTTTGCCCTTGCTCCTATCACTCCCTTGTAAACCAACATTCAAGACTCCAAAGCTTAATCCACATTCAACCTCCTCTGCTTTAACCACACGTGTGCTTATTGTTTCCGGAGGTGGATTAAGTCGGAAATCTAAATCTTGATACATAACATCGTCACCTTGTAAAATATCCATTAATCTACTAATATATCTCCTATAATTGTTTTCTTGTTCTATTTTTTCGCGTAGCGAAGTTGCTAAAGAATCTAAATGTTGACTCCTTAATACATGTAAGGCATGAGGTTTACGAACAGCATCTTCAGGCCTTTTTAATGGACTAAGAATTTCCTTGACATCAATGTCTTTGTACGGATTGTCTGAAAGATCTCCATTAAATTCAGTTATGTGTTCAATATCTGGCTTATGAATACGGTATATGATATGATGTCGCGAACCATTAGGCACATCAACAGGTTCTAAATCTTCTTGATACCCATAGGGAGCTCGCAATCTAACGCCGCCATCTAAAGCGGCGGCACGGTTTTTCATTTTATGACCTCTATTATGTGGTGTCAATCCTATTTCTTCCTTCATAATGCTCTCATCATTTATACCATTTGAAACCGAATAATCTATGGATGTATTATTCCCAAAGAAACTCATACCACGTTGATTACTCTCAATCCCATTCATACTGCTATTCAGAATATTACCATTTCCATTCAATTCTGAATATTGATTAATGCCTGAAACAACATTGTGGTCCATGTTTACAGATCGCTGTTGATCTACTCTTTGTCTTGATGACATTACAAGTACATTTGCTGCATCTGCAGCTTCAGCGTCTAAATCTTGCGGAGTTAAATGCGATAAATTTTGTGAGAGTCTATGTGCCGATTTGTGAGATGATTTATGCGATGATCTTGATGATGTATGAGAGTGTGAAGTTTTTTGTGAAACCAATGATGATTTTGCATTAGTTGACGAACTCCCTTGAGAATTGCCCTTTTGTGTACTGCGATGAGAACTGTGTCCCATTACTTGTTGAGACACTTGTGAAGTACGAATTGCAGAATGGACTGTTAATGGTTGAGTATTTTGCAAAATTGGTTGTGAAATACTATCTGAAACTGCGCCACGGTTTGATGTATGTGAAGAAGTTTGAACATGCGATGATGGTTCTATGATCGAACGGGGGGATTCTGCAGGACGTATTAATGGTATCGATTTTGTTGATGCTCCCTGGATAGGACGTTCGCGTTGTATTGATTGATGTGGCGCTGGCGCCGATAAAACTTGCGACGATTGGGCCGAATTAGTTGGTTGCGTCCTTTGTTGCGATACGGGGTCCTGCAAGTTTACAGTTAATGCCATAGGAGGACGAACAGGACGATTTGAATTGGACGACAAATCGTTTGTTACTGTAGATGCCATACGTGTTTGTTGTAGCATCAACGGATTTTGTTGCTGAGAGTTATGATGAATTGCTGAATTGAATCCATGTTGAATCGTTGGATTATTTGTAATATTTTCAAAGGGCGTCATATTCATTCCAATAGGTCTAGCAGCTAGATTTGGGGAGGCGGTCAAACTCCTATAATTATCCGTATGAGTACCATAAATAGGATTGTTCATTAAAGGAGTTTGTTGCACCGAGGATGTTCTAGCTGTGTTTGACATGCTGATTGGGATTCCCGCGACCAACGTTCCTGAATTTGAGATAATAGGCTGGGTCTGTTGAGGATTATGTTTCATCACCGGAGCAGACTGGTGGCGTGTCACTTGAGGCATCCTAGAAGAAACACTCGAAGTGGGAACACGATTATTTGCAAAAGGAAGCCCATGGTGACCCTGCATAATATTCATTTGATCGGGATTTTGGTAATTAAGGTTTACCTAAAGAAATATGTCAAGTAAAAAACTATTCAAAATAAGAAAAATAAGTATGAGAGGTAGTTCATGCAAACCGGCTGTATGACATTTTGTTGAGCGTTCGAGACCTGAAGATTTGGTCGGATTGTCTGAATGGGAACGTTCGTTTGTTGTATTACTGGTGTTTGCTGTGAACCACTGATGATTGACCTTCTCTGAGGAGGACGTTCTTGTCCTGTTGCCGAAGCAGCAGCTGGTGGGGAATTTAGGGGCGGATTATCTAAGGACGATTTATGCATCTTTAATCTTTTCTGAATTTGAAAAAAAAAAAGAAGTGAATGGATATTTTTCCTGTTTGGAATAATTATGCTAAAATATCTTTTGGTGGCTTGATCCTGCGTAACAATAGTGGTAATTATTAAAAATAAATCCAATTGGCTGGTCAATCTAAAGGTTGGTTTTTCAGTACCAGAAAAATTCTTACTGTATTTGAATTACAGTAATTATGATGTCTTTTTCCCAATAAGCTGAAATCGTAAAAAAAAAATTTTTATGTAATAAACATGATCGCCATAAAATTTTTTGCCATAATTTTATTAATTTATTAATATTGAATAAAATAGTTTGAAAAACAATTGAATTTATATTTTAAAAAATAATTTTTAAAATAAGAACTAATAATAACTATTTTAATAAAAATTTTTAATTAATTATTAATAAAAAAGAAATTTTTTTTATTTTATTTTTAAAATTAATAATATATTTTATTAATAATATGTAATATTTTATTTTTATTTTTATTTTTATTTTTATATTAAAAAAATAATATATTTTATATATTGTTGTCAATTAAAAATCTATCGATAATTACAATATAATTCTTGATTTTATAATACTTATACAAGAGTTATAAGTATAATAGATAAGTATAAAAGGCAAAAAGAAAATATGGATTTGATGAATTTGTAGAATTTGAAGATTTTATTAATTAAGAATCATATAATAAGTATTATAGTAATTTTATTTAATAAATATTTTATTATTATTTTTTTCCTATTATTTTTTTTATATTTTATATTATTTTTATATTTTTTATTAGTAAAAAAAATAATTAAAATAAAAGAAATCTATTTAATAATCAAAAATATTACTTGTTTAATATAATAAATAAAATTTTCAACTTACTAAAAGACAATAAATACAGTATATCTTATAGAAAATTAATATTTCTATTACTCTTTCTCTGAAACTTTATTACAAAAAATTAATTTGTAACAATATATTTATATATAATTCTATAAAAATAATTTAATTATAAATAATATTAATAAAATTGATATTGTAATATTAAGATCCAAAGTAACAAAAAAATTCTTTAATTAAAAAAAAACTCTTTTCCATATATAACATTTTTCTTATAAATTTCTTTTTATAATAATTTTTTAAAAAATTAAAGAAAAAAATATACTTTTTATTTTTCAATATTTATAAGCTCTCTATATTTTTTTTTTTTTTTTTTTTTGAGGAGCAAATGGCTATCACGCTATCATTTATTATTATAATTTTAAACTTGCGGGTTACAAGATTTACAATATGGGAAGCACGACATACATCTCTCTTTGCTAGGAAGAGTTAAATGCAAGGCCTATGAAGGCCACCCCCTAAGCTCCTTGGC